TATATTTGGGATGATATGTTGTGGGCCCATGTGATATAGATGGGTTTCTTCAAAAAACCACCCCCTCCTTTGCTTTTCAAACAGTGCCGATGCATAGCTAAATGGGGGAATCGGTGGAATGATATGCATTGTGTTTCCCTGGGCATTGAGCAAAATCTCCTTCAACCAAACGCATGCTTCCCATAATCCTTGATTCATTTGCATGGGGTAATCCAAAAACCCCCTCAACCAAACACCACCTGATACATTTTGATCCTTTTAATAGAGTTGTTTGCTTGGATCTTTACGTTTCAAACTGATTTTTTTTTTTTTTTTTATTGTTGAGAAATATAGTCTCACATTGATTATATGGGCAATTAATGTGAAGTTTATAAGGCCTTGGACACTTCTACCTTCTGAACTAACTTTTGGGGTGGTGTATCTCAAAGTTCTTAACATTTATATACACACAAAACTGATACATGTTTTTTTTTTTTTAAGAAACACACCTCTGTGAACCTAAACAACGACAAAACAATAGCGGTGAAAAGAGTAAACCATAAAAAATGATGATAGGGCACTTAGTACATGAAAGTTGAGCATATATACATAACAGTGTGTGTTTGATATTCTTCCATTACCATATTATTTCTGGAGGAAAATATTTTTGGTATATCAAATATATATATCAAGCCCTCGGTATATTTTTTATTAAATATAAAATAAAAAAAATTATATTATCCTTACCTTTATGATTATTTCTTTTTATATTCTCTTTTTTCTAATTTTAGGAAAGGAAGTATTTACTCTCTGAGTACTGAAAATATACTTTTTTAGGAAAAGTTTATGCTTGAGTCCTATCAACATATGTGACAAGACTACTCGCGTTAAATCAATTGACACCACATGGCTAATCGCGTAACCACATGCTAAGTAAATTAATGGATTTCTATCCTATGGTTAAAATTTAATTAAAATAATAGATATATACTAATTATAATTATTATTTAATTATTTAATTACTACTTCATTATTTTCTTAATTATGGGGCCTAAATTATAATCAATATTTAATCATTTCTATACGAATTCAAAGTTTCATAATTCAGCTTCCCAAAAAAAAATTCACAAATTATATTTATTATTTAGCCTAAACACTAATTGTAATTACTAAGTAATTATTGCATTACTAATTAATTTTTTTAGTAAATGGTTTTCTATCCTAGGTTTATATTTAATTAAAATAATAATTATATACTAATTATAATTAATATTTTTTTATTTAATTATTATTTCATTATTTTCTTAATTATGTTTTCTAAATTATAATTAATATTTAATCATATCTATTCTAATTCTAAGTTTCATAATTCAGTTTTCTAAAAAAACTACAAAAATTTCATAAATTATATTTAATATTTACCTAAACATGAATTATAATTACTAAGTGATTATTGCATTACTAATTAATTTTTTAGTAGATATTTTTCTATCCTAGGGTTAATATTTTTCTATAGTAGGGTTAGTATTAACTAAATATAAATTAGTAAATAAATTGTTAATATTTTTCTATCCTAGGGTTTGTATTAACTAAATATAAATTAGTAAATAAATTACTATTAATTACAATTATTACTATTAACCTTAGGATAGAAAAATATTTACTAAAAAAATTAATTTGTAATGCAATAATTACTTAGTAATTATAATTCATGTTTAGGCTAAATAATAAATATAATAATATGAAATTTTTGTATTTTTTTAAAAAACTGAATTATGAAACTTTGAATTAGAATAGAAATGATTAAATATTAATTATAATTTAGAAAACATAATTAAAAAAATAATGAAGTAGTAATTAAATAAAAACTAATTATAATTAGTATATAATTATTATTTTAATTAAATATTAACCTAGGATAGAAATCCATTTACTAAGAAAATTAATTAGTAATGCAATAATTATAATTAGTATTTAGGCTAAATAATAAATACAATTTACGAAAAAAAAATTGCAAAAACTGAATTATGAAACTTTGAATTAGTATAGAAATGATTAAATATTAATTATAATTTAGCCCCATAATTAAGAAAATAATGAAGTAGAAATTAAATAATCAAATATTAATTATAATTAGTGTGTATTTATTATTTTAATTAAATATTAACCATGGAATAGAAAATCATTTACTAAACATGTGATGACGCGATTAATCACGTGACGTCAATTGATTTAACGCGAGTAGTCTTGTCACAATGGACGTGGATCCAAGTCACATCATATTTGTTGATGAGACTAAAAGCGTCATAATATTTTACACGTTTGACTGCTGTGGTCAAACTTTTCAAACGTGTTTTCAATATGAGAAATTTTTGTAAAAATTTAATAGTACGGTACTTTTTTGCCGTCAAGATGAACATGTAGGTGGTGCTTGTCACTTCTTACGAACTACCTATGGTCTGCTACAAAAACAAACTACCTATTGTCCGTGCAAAGTGCATGTTAATAAAAATATTAAACTATTCACATCGTGAAAAGCATGCACCTAAAATAAAAAATAGGAAACGAAAAGAAGATGTAGGCTTTAGCTCAGTGAATAAATTATTTATATTCACTCTTAAAATAAAATTATTTTAAATTAAAAGATTAAAAATTATAAAAATAAATACTGGATATTATAATCTTGAAAAAGTTATAATTACAAAAATACATTGATTTATGTCTAAAACAACGTCGTTTTGAGTACAGTAAAAAGAATTCATTTGTATTTATTTTATTAGATATAAATAATTTTTTTTCTAAATTAGCTATTAAATATTATTCTAAAATACATATATATATATATATGTAAATTATTATTTTTAAAATAAATCAGCTAAAATCTAAACCAAAGCAAGTATTAATTGTGGCGCTATCATTTCTTTGAGCGAACTCCTTTCTAATATGCATCATGGCTGAGTTTAAGTTAAGTTGTTCATTTGGTTTATATTTTAATATAATTAATTTTAATATAATAGATATTAAAGCATAAATTTTAAAATATTGATATGAAAAAAATTATTTGCATGTAAAAATAGTGTTTAATTTGAAAGTTAAATTGAATGAATTGATTTTGTTTAAATGGTATAAAATATGAAAGTTATTAAACCAACCTTCATTGTTGGATATACACCCGATATGGTTTCCCATCGGTGCAACATCTCGTGGGACACCGTGATGTGAGAAAAGAAAATGTTGAGAAGGGTAAGAGTGGAATATGAGTCATGACGATGGCAAAATCATAGAACAAATATAGAATTAATTTATTTCCACCGCTAACATGTGTTTTGCCAATGTATTGGATAGTCAAACAATAATGAAAAAAAAAAAGTATTTCGTTGAGTAAACAAATGCTTGACATGCTTAAAATCTAAACGAGAAAAACACTTGGCTACATGCAGGGATGGATAAGTGAAGCCATTGTTAAGGACTTAGGTTAAGAAAAACTTCCCTTAAAGTTCATTATTTTAAGAAAAATCACGTACTGAGTGAAAATTCTTCTATCCGTTCATTACTTACATGCGGGCACTGAAATTTTTATCGGTGGTAGGTAGCGAGTATACGATGAACCATTTTTGGGCAATGGATATATTCATATCTTAGAAAGCATTAATCTGAACCCTTTAAAATGGAGTTTCTAGAATGTACCTCACCGACCTGCATCAGTGGCAAAACTAGAACCACCCATCTCAGCTACTTCCAAAATATAACTTTTATATCACACGGCACACCAGTTGAGATATTGCATAATGCAATTAAATGCGATTGTTGTTGCGTATAAGTATATTCGCTTATACATTTAGTTTTGTTATTTTTACACCATAACGTTTTACGACATTTTTTATTATAAAAAAGTGCTACATATATTTTTTTTTTAAATTAAAATTTTACGTTAAATATTATAAAATTAAAAAAACAAAAGTTACAAATACAATAGAAGAAATTACATATTAAGTAATGAAAATTATAAACTCATAAAAAGACATAAAATTTTATTACTAAATATGCAATCATAAAAAAGATAGTACAATAATTTAAAAAATGAATATCAAAATCAACTCCTAAATTCATAACTTTTATATTTGAGAAAATAAATAAATAAAGATAGTGGGTTGAAATGTATAATTTTTTAATTTTATTATTACAAAAATATATAATAAAAATATTAACAATCTTATTGTGTGTGTGTAAATATATATATATATAGGGAAATGTGTTTCTCATGTTGCATGAGACAAATTATCTCATGCAACACACAAAAAAGTGGGTGGGACCATCTTTTTCCTTTCTCTCTCTTCTTCAAGGTGGGTCCTACTCACTTTTTTGTGTGTTGCATATGAAAAAAATCAAACTCACACATATATATATATATATGAGGTAGGATCCTTTGACACCTCGTCTAAGAGCCGTTAGATAAAAAAAGATCAATGACTCTGATTTGTAAACATGTGACATCATTGATTTTTTTTTTTTATCCAGCGGCTCTCAAATGAAGTGTCAAATTTAAAATTTGACACGGTGTCAAAGGATCCTACTTCTATATATATATAGGTAGGATTCTTTGACACTATTGATCTTTTTTTATCTAACGACTATCAGATGAGGTGTCAAATTTTAAATTTGACACTGGTATCAAATGATTCTGTCTCATATATATATATATATATATATATATATATATATATATGCAACGCGTTTTGATGGAGAAAAATGGTTCCACGTATATGCAATGAGCAACCCGATAAATTGCATTGATTGCAACCACATTTCACTAATAAGAAGCAAAGGAATGTTAACTCATACATTTAGTGCTCATTAATGCAACATTGTTTTTTTCTTTTTTCTTTTTTTTTTTGTAATAACATTGTTTTTTCTTTCGTAGGTAGAGAGTGATTTCTTATTATAAATTTAAGACTCAAGAAATCTTCATTTCACAAAAGATCCTTTAAGGTGGGGTTAAGAAAACAGCTAGCAACAAAAAAATGGAGGTGCTAAGGGTGCAAACCATAGCTTCCGAGTCCAAAGATGCTGTTATCCCGGCCATGTTTGTTAGGCCAGAGACAGAGCAACCAGGAATCACAACCGTTCATGGTGTGAAACTTGGGGTTCCCATTATTGATTTCAGTAATCCAGATGAAGGAAAAGTCATGCGTGAGATTATGGAGGCAAGTAGGGATTGGGGAATGTTCCAAATTGTGAACCATGAGATACCTAGCCAAGTTATAAGCAAATTGCAAACTGTAGGTAAAGAGTTCTTTGACCTACCACAAGAAGAAAAAGAACTATATGCTAAGCCTGCAGGGTCTGATTCTATACAAGGTTATGGCACAAAGCTTCAGAAAGAGGTGAATGGCAAGAAAGGCTGGGTGGACCATTTATTCCACATTATATGGCCACCTTCTTCCATTGACTACCGTTTCTGGCCTAAGAATCCTCCTTCTTACAGGTTAGTTTGATGAATATTAATGTCATTTGTCTTCTTCTTCTTAGAAACCTTCCTATTTTGACGTTCATACAATGCATAGTCTCATGACCATCGCCATTTTTTGGTCGAAGCATGATATGATATTCATTGTGTCATCAGTTTTGTTTCTTTTCCATCATTGCTTCTATTCAATATTGTGTTATTTATAGGGGGGGTTGACACAACCTGAAGCGATTTTTTTTACCCATTTTGATATAAAATAAAGTTTAAATAAAATGAATAAATAGATAATCGCATTTTTTGTTATGAGATATAATAAACTCATTCATCTATAGCTCCTCCTGTTTACAAAAAAAAATAAATCTATAGCTCCTCCTAGTGGCAAAAGCTTCCAGAGAATTGGTTGTGTGACATGATATTAGAGTCTATCACTAAGTGGTCACGCTTAAAACTCAGAAAAAAATAGAGTCCCGCACAAGGGGATATATTAAGAGATATAATAAAACTATTAATGTTTCTTTCTTTTTTCTTTTTTCTTTTTTCTTTTTTAGAAAAAACTATTAATGTTTCTCTTCCTCTTGACTTAAGATTTTAGGAGAGTTAATTGATTTACATTATTTATTTATTTATTGTAAGTAATTAGTTAAATCAATTTGACAAATGATTATTTAAGTTTGTAATTAATTATTTACTACTAAGGGTTTAATTTCAATAATTAGTTAAGAATGTATATCTTACCTTACCTTAGTGCTACCCTTATACATAGGGCAATAAATGTTGTCTTAAAAATAGCTGTATAAAAAAGCGTATGGCGATGAAGGATTTCGTTTGAGATCTCGTCCGTCGTAAACGCTACATGTTAGTGATGCATTGAGATTTGACAGATTTATAACATCCATGCATATTTAATTTTATGAAAAAAAAAGTGATGCGTGGTGGGCGCACCGGTGTTTCGTAGTTAGTGTCTGTAGAAATAAACGTCGGTCCCTCTATGTACAGGGAAATTAATTCGCGGGTCCCTCTCAGTCCTTTTCTCTCTCTCTCTCTCTACATTGCACCGATAGCATTATATATTTGCTTCTATGTATATGGTACTCGGATTTTGGTGTTAGTCCCTATGTAATTCCTTATCAGAAATATATAATTTTTTTTTTAATATTTCAATCGATTCATCGAGCTTCAGAACAAATCTTAAGATTAAGATTTTAAACTTCTTCCACGATATTAGAGAGAATCGAACATATACTCTCACTTTCACATGCTCAGTTCTATGCCGCCAACTAAACTATTATCATTTGATTTTGTTAGAAATACGAAAATTTCTTTAGTGATACAGATGCACTGGGTTTTCGATCTATTTTTCACTCACAATATGACATGTATCTTATTTTTTATTAAATTACTCTCTTACTTGATTTTAAAATAAATTATTTATTAATGATTTGACAAAAATAAGACACGTGGTACATTATAAGTGGAAGATGCACTGAAAATTCGGTGCATCCGTAGCACTAGACATTTGGTAGAAAAAACAAATTTATCCGGGAATTTCAATTTTTAAAAATATGATGAAAATATTCAGTTTATAATAATATCTGAAAATTAAAAATTTAAAAAAATTCAATTTTCCAGACATCCTAAAAAATACCAGCTACCAAACGCCCTCCTGAAATACAAATGGAAAGTTCAACATGAGTAAAGAGCTTAAAAAAATAGTTTGATTTTTAGTAAACTAATCTTAAATCATGTTATTTATCTTAATCGAATTATTATTATTGACAAATATTTTAAATAATATTATACATTTAAGCTAACGACTGTAGGGGTGTTCACGGTCTAGATTGGATCGGTTTTGGAAGCAAAAATCATCCGATCCAATTCCTTCGGTTTGATCATATAATCATCCATTCGATTTTGATTTTTTTTCAAATCCGATCCGATCCAATCCAATTTTTTTCGGTTTGGATTGGATCGGTTTTCGGTTTTTTAAAAATCCTAAAATTTATTTCATGATTATTGTGCAAATAACATCTTTTACATATATTTGCTTTGTAAATTTTTTTTTTGAAATACAAAAGCATTAGTAAACTATAATATAATTTTTTTTAAATTTTGGCAATGAGATATGAAGCTCTACAAAGATAAAATTTTGTTGATGAGATATGACTAGATTTTTTCTTGAGTTTAGTTGATGGGTTAATGAGTCTTGGATTTAGAAATTTTTAGGCTATGATTAGGGAAATACCCAAGTAGGTAGAGGGAAATTAATATTTTGGATCGGTTTGGATTGGATCGATTTTCATCAACCCATCCAAAAACCGATCCAATCCAATTAAAATTTGCGGTTTTTATTCGGTTATCGATTTTTCGATTTTCGGTTTATTTAGTCATTGGTTTTTCGGTTCGGTCACCACAGTTTGAATTGGTTTGGATCGGTTGATGAACACCCAACGGCCTGTATAATAATGCAGTCTCTCTTGTTTTTATTTATTTTTAATTGTAATAAACGGGGCTAACACCAAGACAGAGAAAACTAGACATGAAAGTGTGGGAGAATAAAGACCATACAATTGTTTACCGAAAAAAACAGACAATCACATAACAAAGTCAACAACAGGTTGATAGGGGTGGGGACTCGAGGGTCCAAAATGATTAGGCTGATGGCAAAAAAATCTTCTAAAATATGATAAATCAGCTTAGAGGTTTAGTTAAGTTATATAACTTGAGAACTCAAATGAGGTTTGAATAATAATTAACACATGATTTTCTTACAGGGAGGTCAATGAGGAATACGCCAAGTACCTACGTGGGGTTGCAGACAAACTGTTCAAAAGTATGTCAATAGGGCTAGGACTTGAAGAACATGAGTTAAAGGAGGCTGCAGGTGGAGACGAAATGATTCACCGTTTGAAAATCAACTATTACCCACCTTGTCCATGTCCTGATGTCGTCCTTGGTGTACCACAGCACACAGACATGTCCAACGTGACAATTTTGGTGCCCAATGAGGTGCAGGGTCTTCAAGCCTCTAGGGATGGTCACTGGTACGATGTTAAGTATGTCCCAAATGCCCTCGTTATTCACATTGGCGACCAAATGGAGGTATGCACATATCTTATGTTAATATTGTTTATTATAAATTTTGGATGAGCAAAAATAATGATATTTATTTATTTTATGGTTATATATATATAGATATTGAGCAATGGGAAATATAAGGCGGTGTTGCACAGAACAACTGTGAACAAAGACCAGACAAGAATGTCGTGGCCAGTGTTCATAGAGCCGCAACCACATCACGAAGTTGGTCCTCACCCAAAGTTGGTTAACCAAGACAATCCACCTAAATACAAGACCAAGAAATATAAGGATTATGCTTACTGTAAGCTCAATAAGATCCCTCAATAAATGAAGCGTGCTGGTTGGTTAATTTATTAAATGAAAATGTTCCTTGTACTAAGGAAAATAAGATCTCTATCTAATGTGGTATTTTTATTTTTAATTATCTGAGAGTCAACTGCTTTTCCTGTTTTGTTATTGTACAATTTCACAAGTTATTTTACTCGTGAATTATGTAAGTTATTTTAAATTGGACATCTATAAATATAAGTTTTTATCTAACTAATGCATGCTCCAGTCTAAGATCATCACCATTCATTTTAGGCATATTCACATAAATTTAGGTATACCAGCTTAAAGTTTGAGATCTTGCTGGAGCATGCATTAATTGTTGCTGCAAGAGGAAGACTAATAAGAAAACAGAACATAACTCCATTACCTTATTTGGCAGTTAAATTATAAAAGAATGAAACCAAACTCACGTAACTAACTCCACTATTATTTTTATTTCACGCCATTCCACCTCAATTATTTGGGTCTTCAAGAGGAATAGAAGGATAATAACTCACATTAAGTTCCTTTACCTTCTAATTTTAAACTCCCAAATAAAGAAAATTGTTATCTTTCTAATCCCCTCATTTCCTTTTTCGATGATTTAGGCCAAACATCACTACAACCGATAGCACCAGGCTCAGTTTCTATGATTAGGTTTTTGTAACATCATCAACAGTTATCAAAGATCTATCAGCTCTAAAACTCTCTTCACACCTCCATCTCTCTCTTGATAGATACTAATTGAGAATAGTAAATAAATTACTGTCTCTGTGAGCTGCTCAGTCTATGTTTCATGTAAAATTATAGGAGGAACTTCAACCATGTAAAATGTCAAAACAAGATTGCCTTCTATGCCTTACTTGCACTCGCTACTTGTCAAATCCTTTTGTCCAAACAGGCACACGGTATATTAAGATTCCAGCAGAGAATGAGACACATATTGTAATCATAGCATAGGCATAACTGCATAAGCTCTCCAAGGATTCATGTTTTCTCTCATTGCATTGAATTCTGCAGCAAAAGTAGAGACAGTACTCAGACAACCCATCAGACCAAACTGTGATCCTGCTACAACAGTATCACAATTCCTGGTGTTGACCTGCATCAAACAGTAAATCCTCATCATGACCTCCAAATGTGATGCAAATTCTCTTTATTTTGTAATTGGGAATTTGGGATAGGAATTAAGATATATTATGGTATTTAGTACAAATAGAAGTTGAAAGAGAAAATTCAATTACTCAAAAATCTCATTCTCAAATTTAAATCTGATCCTATGATTACTGGCTTAGAGATGAAGTAATGACAAGAATGAAGTTGTAGAAACTTACTGCTTTTTGCACAGTAGAAAGTGCAGCCATAACACTAGCAGCACATAAATTGGCAATAAGAGTCCCAAATGGAATCCATTTAAACAACCCTGTCCTTCCTAATCCACGTCCATTGAGCCGTGCTTAGAACCATCTAGTCCACTCGCCAAGAGGTCCTACCATGCAAGCAAACTATAAATGAGCAGCACTACCACCATGCTTGAACTCAGCTTTTACCAAAGCTCCACTGATACCCCATAACAAGCCTAACAACACCAACAGCACCACCATAACTCCCAATTGACGGGTATAGCTGTCAACCTTAAAGTTGATCTTAGAGCAACCACTTCCTGAACTCATATTCAGCTTGTTGATAAGCCACCTAAAACCCTTGGCTATCTCAACCCCAAATATGATTAAAAAGGCAACAAGAAACAAGCCTGAAAATTTCCAATTGTTGAATATTTCATATCAATTGAGACATATATACCAGCAAAAAAACACTCTTTAAATGCGCTTATTTACCTATTAGAAATCCAAGAGCAGGGAAGAGCCAGTGTCCAGAAACACTGAGGTCTACCATTTTCGGATTCCAACCGCTAAAAGTTGTAAGACTCCCTAAGTAACCAGTTGTTATTGCTATGGCTAGATGATCTGACACACGAGATATGTCTGCTTTGAATACAACTCTGAACCATCCCATCAAAAAAGAACCAACCTGGAAGAATATGTAGAATACTTGCATCAGCACATGTTAGCTACTCAGCTTCCTGATGAATGAAATTTAGCATTCTAGAGTTCATTATTCGGTGCTTAGTTGTGCAACAATAGCGCTAGAATGCGGCTTAGTCATTGTTGAAAACGCCATAATTTGTATCTTATTGGCACTATTGTTCTTTTCTTCTTTTCTCCCTAGCAAAAGCCTACCAAGTTTTATGGCATCTATCCGGAGTTATATTCTTTATCAAACAATTTTGAACCTATGAATATGTATCCCAGAGTAGAAAGTTAACTATGAACCTATGAATATGAAGAGAACTCACTGGCTTTGTGTGTTCAGAAACCACTACTGCATTGGTTGAAAGAGGAGACGAGAGTTCAGGTGGTTCGGTGTTGTATTCAAAGCAGACATATCTCTTGTGTCAGACCATCTAGCCATAGCAGAATTATATGATAGAAGGCCTAACAGAGACGTCATGATTAGAGAAGGGAACGCATGGCTGCCAATTATGCTCATCTTGTATAGAAACAACAGCTCCATTCTCTGACCTGTGATCAAATGACAAACTGAAACTGCTTCTCTCACTGTACCTTCTACTTGGAAGAGCTCGATCACCAACGTCTCCAGCCTCAGAAACACACTCTCACCATCATTATCTATCTGACATGATATGTTCAATGAATGCCTTCTGAGTGAAGAACCAACACTTCTCGTTTGCTCCATGTGAACACAAAGGGTATCGCATGACTTGTTTCTGCCTAATTACCACCAAAAACAGCATTGGAAACCCCACCAAATATCATTATGACTCATGCATCTGCTAGCCATGCCGACTTTTTTTTTCTTCTATTTTTAGATGGTAGGATCAAGATGATTCCAAGATGAATAAATTATTTGATAAGTTTGATGATTGATTCTCAACTAATCCACTTTCAGAAAACCATCAATTTTGATGATTCAATGTCTAACTAATCAGAAAAATCCAATGCAAAAACCGAAACTTCAAAAGCATAAGAAAACAAATAAATCAGAAATTCACATTAAAAAAAAAAAAAAAATCTTGTTACTGTAAATTCTATGTCCAAATATAAACATTATTACACTTGGTTAGTATAACAAAATTTAGTTGAAACTTGAAAGCGGTTAATAAATTATGGGTTCGCTTTTTCTATAATCAAGGTAGATAACTTATCTATGTTGAGATCAAAATGACATCGTTTTGAGACGAAAATTAAGGTATTTTAGTAATTATAATTTATTTCAGGATTACAATGGTCTTTTTTATTACAATTTTTTAATTTTTCAATCCAAAACGACGTTATTTTGAGAGCGGATGTAGATAACTTATTTACGTCCCCTAGAAATATTAAAGCCATATTTGTCATTCATTTTTTAACCTTCTACCAAGAATCAAAGAGTGCATCAAATAATGGGCAAATATAGAATGAGGTAGGATATTTTTACTACCAAAATTTTGTACTACGAACTTACTACTTATCTAATTATTATTGAATCAAAGAGAGAGAATGCCAAAAAAAATTTGTTAAAAGAGAAGATGTTGATCCAATGGTGATTAGATAAGTAGTGAGTTGGTAGTAAAAAATTTTGGTAGTAAGAATATCCCTCCTCATATAGAATTACCTCAATCCATTCTTAAATAAATAATCACACTAATAAAAATAATAAAAACAGAAAAACATAAACATAGGTAATAACAGATTCAGTAGTTGTCAAATGGTTTAAATAAACAAAATAATTGAAGGATATTTTCTGGCATCTAAACCAAGGAAAATAGACACTAAAAATTTATAAAGCACAAAATGGAATATAAAATTAGATACTCACAACCAACAGTACGCATTTCACCTTCTTGTCTCACCAAATTCTCTTTCGAAATGGAGATGCTGCCTGGGTCATACAATCCATTCCAAACCACAAAACAATTATTTCTATGAACCCACTTCGTACAACCTACCAGTAAATCCAAAAATCCTCGAAATGAACCCTATGTTTGGTCCTAAAACCCAACCTACCAGCAAACCTAGATTAGTTCCTATCCTATCCAAGTATGAGCGTTATGATTAAGGAAAACTTACCTCAAGAAATAAGCGAAGGGAATGGATATTTCTTGGGTGTGCCATTGTTTCCCCCCAACTGCTGTGCGGCTACCAAACGCCATTGTTCAACTGTTTCAGAACCCGAGGCTTGAGTAAAACAAACTTGAGTAACAAGCAAGAAGGGAAAGCCTTTCTCGGAGACATAATGTACTGTTAGCTGAAAACATGGGATGAACCGTTGATTTGAGTCGTTGCCTTCCTCTTGTCAATAAACTTTCTGCTTTACATTTCTTATGCACACTCAAACAAAAGTAGAAGCACCGATGGATGAGTAGGTGCAGTATAAAAACTTCATTACCCATAAACTTTTAGAAAGTTTATCCACTCACACAGAATTTGTAATTTTTACCCAAATGTGATTTTACATATATACATTTTTTTTCTTTCAAATTTTAGGGGCGATGCTAGCTCCCTTAATTTTCCCTGTAACTAATCCGACTGTTAAAAACTAACAAAGGCAATAAAAAAAAAATTGTTACTAACCTATTTTATTAAATGAGAATATTCTTATTATTAAAAAAAATCAGTACCTATTTAATCATTATTGAATCAGTATTTTCTTTTTCTCTTCATAAGTTTTTCATTATTTTTTTTTTCAGAAACTTTTTAGTATTTTCCCTTTAAACCAATGATTTATTAGATAAGTTCAATTTTTTTGATAGTACAAAACATTTTATTATACCAAATTTTTTTTTTAAATATAGATCAGACTATAGACTTATACTTTACATCTATACAAGTTAATAGACCATGATAAATCTATAATATTTTATACAAATCTAATTTATTTAAGCAAAAGTAGTCTAACCATTTATTTACATCCGTACCTGTAACCAAAGAGAATGGTCTTGATTTATAACTCTATTGATTTGATAAACCAATGAAACGGTGTTCAGCTCAACAGACCTTTCTTTTCGTCAGCCATGACAAATGGATTACAAAGATAAACATATAAAACATATAAAAAAATAAAAATTATATTTATAATTTTTTTTTTTTTTTTTTGGAGTTACCCAATCCTAATTATCTCTTTGAAACGAGTTGGCTCTCTCCGGTATCCCCACGAGCTTCAACTCTTTGAGCCGGCTATGGGACTAATCCGGAGTGCGGAGGAGCAGTGATGGCTAAAGGTTCAGCCCCCTCCCCAAGAATGCATTCAGCGAGAATCGAACACATATCCAACCCCACTAACTCAGCGCCAAGTTACCAACTGAGCTGCACCCATTGGGTATATTTATAATCTCTTTTTGTTTACTATATTTTACAACTAAATTTAAATTGTTAATTTTAATCAATTTGATGATTATGATTTATTAAATCACATTTATTAATTAATTATTAATTTTTAATAAATTATAACTATCAAATTCATAAAGTTAATAATTAAAATTTAATTATCAACGTTGTACTAACTATGAAGTTGGGAGCAAATTTTGGTGTTACATGATTACGTATTCCTTTACTAAAAATAGAAAATTGTGATGGTTTAGGAGAAAATAATCATACAAAGAAGGATAAAATGGTAAAAAAAATATTATGTTGTCCAAATTGAGTAAATAATGCACTGAGTTTTCGATACTCCTATAGTACTGAAGATATTTCCGTGATGTTGGATTTGCTTGACGTATTTTAAAAAGATATTAAACGATTCTTTTTATGAAGAAAAAGAGTGAATGATCTAAAATTAAGAGTAAATACATTTTTAAGTTCTTAACAAAAAATACGGAATCTATTTTAATTTTTTTGGGAAAAAAAATCGAATTATGATTTCTCTAAAATTTCAGTTTTGTGAAATTATGGTACCTCAAAAATTTAAAGAAGACTCACATTAGTCCCTTAAAATGGACTAATATAAATATTTTTTAAGGAATTAAAATGGACTCCGTATTTTTTTATAAGGATGTTAAGGACTCAAAAGAATATTTACTCTAAAATTAAATAAACTTGATACACTGAGGGTCGTTCGCTAGTGGAGATTTTTTTTTCTTCCTAGCCATCATGATTCCACGAATATATGAAAAGTGAATTTTATGGGATATAAGCAAAAACTGTTTGGTATGATAAAATATTATCCGAAATATTGACTAAATTTTTTCGATTATATGTTTAGTTTATGGGTTCGCTTTTTCTGCAGTTACTGCAGATAAATTATCTGCAATAAGTCCAATACGACGTCGTTTTGAGACGAAAATCATGGTATTTTGTAATTTTAATTTATTTCAGGGTTATAATAGTCTTGATATTTTTAATTTTTTAAGATTTCAATATCAAAACGACATCGTTTTAGAAATAAATGCAGATAACTTATCTGCATTAACTGCAGAAACTTTTTCCCCTTAATTTATTGTCAAATAATAAATATACGGTGATTTTAAAAACTGTACTACATAAGACTTTGCGCTAGTGCTGCGAAGAGAAAATATTATTTGGCGCATGTGTCGTGATAGTTGTTGAATTGTTAAATCCATTTAAGAACATCGTGGATTCATAGTTCATTAGTTATTTGTAAATATTATTGTAAGACTTGAAAAAATATCTTAACTTAAAATTGCGTAACCTCTCATCCCTTTAATTAATTAATTTTTATTTTATTTTACAGAGACAATCATTTAAGAGTTTTATAGATCCAGTGTGATCTTAAAAATTGTACTAATGACGCTAGTGGTGTAGAAAGAAAATATTACTTGAAAACTTTGTGCTAGTGTTGCGGGAGAAAATATTGTTTGGCCCGTCGTGATAGTTGTTAGATTATTAAATTCATTTAAGAATATCGTGGATTCATAGTTCGTTAGTTATTTGTAAATATTATTGTAAGATTTGGGAAAATATCTTACTTAAAATTGGGTAACCTCTCATCCCTTTAATTAATTAATTTTTATTTTATTTTACAGAGACAACCATTTAAGAGTTTTATAGATCCAAGGTGAATTATAAAAATATATTTATTGCGAGCAGTACTTACGCACAACACTGAAATATATATTGTTAGGTGTAAGGTCCAAAGTTATTTGTTTTTGTGCTGTAATTTTTTTTATTAATCTGAATTTTTAAATATACATGTAAAATATATGTGCAATTATTAATTTTTGTTAGAAATTATATAACTGATATTTTATTTAGTAAACAAAAAGAGTGCGCAAGACCAATTCAATTGCAAACTACTAGAGTTATGCGAAACGCATGTTGATACTTTATAACTTTGTACTGTCAAATACTGCCGACATAACCATCTTCTTGTTGTTTATTTTTCTTTAAAATAGATATGGGTTGATTATCAGACATATCCAAATTATTTAATAAATAGATATCCAAAATTAAAATTAAAAAAAAAAAAAAACACTTTTTTTACCTGGTTTGATTCAGTTTTTAAAATGTTTTGAATTATTTGGACATTATGCACATCCAATCCCTAGTCCCAATGGTTGGTGTGGGTGAAAAAAAGAGGATCACGTGCTTACTAATTTCTAACAAATCTCAGTCCTTAGATTAAAGAGGATATATATATATATATATATATATATATATATATATATATATATATATATATATTATTAACACTTCCTCTCAAACTAAAAGCTTATTAAAATTGATTAAAAAAAAGCTTATTAAAATTTAAGGATGTTGCAAAAGAACCTTTTAAAAAAAAAAAAAAAAAACAAATATAGGATGTGAATAGAGTGATCGTGGGCTAACAGGGAACAATGACCAATTTGGCACCTTTTAAAAAAAATTCAAAATATCACGTAAGCAGTAAAATTTTCAAAAGTGTCACGCGTACAAGTTCGCTACATCAAGTAGCGAACTTTATTTGCTGATGTGGCATGTTTTTAGATTTAGTTCGCTACTCATAGTAGCGAACTACGTACAATGTCAGTCTGCTCTGAATATTATTGAAACACGTGTCAATCTCGTATAAGTTCGCTAGACTAGCTAGCGAACTAGGTGAGAAAAGTAGAATGAAAAAAACAATGTCATTAAATGTGCTCTGATGGGACACAATGTCATTCAACTTTGGATGAAACAAAAAGTTGAATGAAAAAAAGCTTTGGAAAAGAAAGAGAGAAAATGTAATTAATAGTGAATTTGTACATAGTTAGCTAGGGTGCATAGCGAACTAGGTGTTCTGAGACTGATATTTCACATAGTTCGCTATTATCAGTAGCGAACTAGGTCCAAAAACATGCCACATCAGCAAGCAAAGTTTGCTACTTACCGTAGCGAACTTGTACATGTGATATTTTGAAAAAATTTACTGTTCGCATATAATTTTGACAATTTTTATTTTGAACAATAACAGATTGATCACTGTTCTCGCTAATAGTTAAGGCAACAACAATGGTGCCACCCTAACATGATGATGATCATTAATTTATTATTAAAAATTATGGGAGATTGAGATTTTTACATTTTATAGGATGATGTTAAAATGAGATTTGAGAGCATTTTCCTCCTATGTTACACATAGGTCAATCGTATGATATCCATATATATGAACTTGCTGTTATTTGCTCTAGCTTAAGATTTAATGACGCGGTAAGCATAACTAAAACTTGAAAGTTATTGCCACATGTCACTCCTTGTCTTGATCAGCCTGCATGTCTGTTGTAATATGTGGAAGTGTATGAAAGTTAGAACCTTAATAAACTTGCAGTTATGTATTAGGAAAAGAATAATCCCTTGTTTTCACAAGATGCATACCTTTCCTTGCTCTGATTCACTTACCTTCTTTCCGCACGTATTCTTTCAGCAGCCCCTCCTTTTATATTCACAGCTACTCTCACACCCATCCTCGTGTATCTTAATCCTTTGATCGAGAAACATACACAGAGATGGCATTGCTTCTTCAAATGATTTTACCAATCTCTTTGGTTCTAGCATTAATTTTCTCAGGTAAAACAATAGCTTGGCAAAGTCATTTTATACATACACCCCAATAATTTGCACTAGCCCTGTTGTTGAAACCGATTTTTTAAGTTGTCAGCTATCTTAATTCTTTGGCATGCTCAAACTCAAAATTATTTTGTGGACACATCTTTTTTGTCTTTACTAGTAGTTTCATCATTTGAAATTTAATTGTTCTGGCCCACACCTAATGAGCTCCAAATGATCTAGAGATTATGAATTTTATTTATAATGAGACAAATCTCTTTATAAATAAAGGGTTTCACCTTATTTGAAAATTCTTATCTTGTTAGTTGTTATTGTTCACACACTGATTATTATTTGCGCACGGTGATCTGCCACCACATGTAGCTGCTTCTTCCATAAACATTGCTAATATAATAACTTTGTTTTGCCAATAGTCTCATAAATAATTGCTTGCATTTCAAATTTTGGGTTAAATTTTGGTTGGTGAGGACAGGGCAAAGAACATGCGAGTGTGCTAGAGTTTTCACAATAGTAAACTACTGCAAGGAGACATTGTGGCCAGCAGTGACACCAGGGGAAAACTTTAACGGTGGAGGTTTTGTTCTAAAACAAGGCCAATCCCAAGTGTTCACAGCCCCAGTTAGTTGGAGTGGCCGAATTTGGGCTCGAACCGGTTGCAACTTTGACCAAAATGGCTTGGGACAATGCCAAACCGGTTCATGTGGCAATAGTATTAAATGTGGAGCCTCAGGGAAAACACCAGCTTCACTAGCAGAATTTACACTCGCACAATTGGATTACTATGATGTTAGCCTCGTTGACGGTTTCAATGTTCCTATATCTGTTAAACCCATAAACGGAAAAGGAAACTGTTCCACTGCTGGTTGTGACTCTGACCTCAGATCCAATTGTCCTAAAGAACTAGCCGTCAAGGTTAAAGGTAAAACCGTTGGGTGTAGAAGCGCCTGTGATGTGTTTAATGCTGATGAGTATTGCTGCAGAGGGGTTTATGGTAACCCCGTTACTTGTAAACCTACGTTTTATTCCAAGAAGTTTAAGGAGGCATGCCCAACTTCATATAGTTATGCATATGATGATCCAACTAGTATTTTTACTTGCTCGGGGACCGATTATGTCATAGCCTTCTGCGCTTCCAGGTTTGTTTGTGCATTCAAGCTTTGATATTTTTGTTACATATATAGTTTTGGGCATTGGATAAAATGTTAATGCAATATTAATTGAACTAACTTTTGTCTTTTTGGACTTCAGGAAACGACAGGTGTGCACTTACCATGATAACAAGCTTCACTGCAGTGGATCACAAGGCTTGAAGTCATTGATTGGAAGCTGGTGGATCTTAATGATAACGGTGTTTACAGTGCTTAGTTTGGGGATTGGATTCTAGATCCTGCTGAGAGTCCGATTCATTTGAAATTTAATGTATTATGGGCTTGTATAAATGGAACCCTTTTTTTTTTTTTTTTTGTGTTTTTTGGGACGAGTTTATTGCTTACTTATACGGGAAGCTGTAATTTCAACAATTGATCCATATGCTTTTCCTTCGATTTAAGGAAAACGGTGATGTGCACTTGAGGTTATTCTTATCCTTTCACCTTTTTCCCAGTTTTCAACAATATCATACATTCAAGGTTTAGCATGTAGCGATAAACTTGGAAAAACTCACCACTTGATTATCACACTTGATCACATGATAATAATATGTAATTAAAGGCTCATCGAATTTTAATTTTTTTTAATTTGGATGAGACAGGTCCTCAAGTATATCGCAACCGCAAAAAAGGATCGTATAAGACTAATTCTAAATAGAATTGTTACTTTTGACATTAAGATTTACGGGTGAAATTTTTCATCTAACTTATTGGATAATGAGAATATTTTTGGAATAAATCAAATTCCTCATCGTCATCGTCACATCACTCTTTTATATATATATATAATTGTCATTTAAAATGAATTTATTTATTTATTTATTTGTATACTGAAATGTTATTTTTGAAAATAAATTCTCCCATGTTAAATAAAATATAATATTGTCATGTGAGAAAATAAAAAAATCATATATAGATGAATCAACAATGATAAAAAAATATTAAAATAAATAGTTATAAATCATTATCATTAATTTATTTTTGGATGGTTGTGATTTCTTCACATAACTATATCATGTTTTATGAATACGAGGATTAAGGAAAATAGGGTATAAGACTTATAAATAAGTGTTAACGGTAGCTTTATCGAGGAAGCTTAACCTTCTGCACAAAGTGATTTTCCAAATAATTATTCTGATTATTTCTTGTTCCATATGATAAAAGTTTAAAAGTGAAGATTATATTTATAAATTTTTTATTTACAAATTATACTGTGTCTTACTAATAAAATACATTCTTAAGTAAAGTCTTACCTGTAAGAAATAATATAATTCTTAAATTTATATAAAAAAATTTATCAATATAATTATCCTAGAGTTTAAATAGATAAAATACAATTTAAAAATGATAACTACCCACTAACAATTAAACATATTGAAATAAAATAAACTACTCACTATTAATATTTACCTTGCAACTACTTGGAATCAATCCACAAACTCAAAATAAACGAACAAATTAGAAAATAATAAGATTAATAAACTCGAGAAAAGTGATTTAAATGGTAAGACAATAATTAACAGAACTAGTTAGGAAATTGGGATGGCGAACGGTGGAAAGGTGTCGTTCAAAGTAACCCTGACCTCCGATCCAAAGCTACCGTTCAAAGTGTAAGTTATTTGATTCTAGTTCCATTCTACTCCATTTCTTAATCTAATTTTCCATTTGGAACAATTTCAGGTTCAGCGTTCCAGAGGCTGCACCTTTTACTGCCGTTCTCAAATTTGCAGCCGAAGAATTCAAAGTGCCTCCTCAGTCCAGCGCTATTATCACCAATGGTTTTTGCTTTTTTCATCCCTTTTTTCTTTTTATTAAATAAATTATTATTTGTTCTTTGGGATAGATTAAGCTTCTTTTTTTCGTTTTTCGGTTTTTGGATGTGATTATTGGAGGTTGATTTTGCAATTTTTAGGGATTATTCAGAGTACATTTAAATTTACTGAGAGTATATTGTGCCTTTTTGGGGGTGAGATTATGAAATTTGGGTAAATCTAATATTATGAGACTTTCTGGGTAAATGCTCTGTTATGTTGTGGAAAGGTGCTTGATCGTTATTTCAGAACAAACCATTCTCTCAACTCCCTTGGCATCAAAAGAAATGAAAAATAAGAAAAAGAAGGTAAACTATATAGTAAAGGTGGAAAGAACATTGTGATTCATAGTTTCATCGAAGCTTTGTACAAGTTAAACCTCCAAGCATTCTGAATTCTCCTAGATATTTATTGACCACTTATTATAAGGTTGTATTCTTCACTCTTCAGGTTCTAATGGTTTCTTTTCTTTAGACATTACCGGCGTCTCCTGATTGGGATGTCTTTTTCTTTATACATGTTCTTTTTGCATTGCTACACCTTTAACACTTGATATTGGTTACTAAATTTGATATACTCTCTAGTTCATTTGATTTATGACTTCACTTGCTGTCTTGGTGGGCAGATGGCCTGCCACTCAGATTATTTCTCATGGGGTATCTTAAACCAGTATAAACAATCCTAGATTACACATTAAAACTAAAAAAAAAGGATAAATTTCTTTTATTCAGTGGGTTTATATGAGTGACTTCAATTGAAAATTTTATTTCTCTTTTAAAATGTTATGCAATTTTATTCTGTTGTGTAAGTGGGTGTTGGCATTGGATGAGGCATCTCTTTCCATGGGCTACCTCCAAACCCCACCATTTTCCTTTATTCGTACCGAGGACTCAGTTCATTAATTGCTAAAATTGGAAGTAGAAAAAAACAATTCATTTAACTCTACTCTTTTCATGCATTCCTTTATGAGTAATTTTACTGGAGTTTATTTTTTCCTACATTTAGTAAAAAAAATACATATTCCCGTAGCATAAAGATACACTCCATAAGTATTGCGGAGCTGGAATTCAGATCTTGAATTTGCATCACCCTAGCCACAGCCTGGGGGCATCTCAAACCTATCCAGAATTTTTTATAATAATAGGCGAAAATAAAACTTTAAAATTATAAATATTATTAAGATTAATAAAAAATATTAACTATTATAAATATTTTTGAGGGCAGTCAACCTAGCCCCTCTCACCGTCCGCACCTGTAAACATAACATCAGCAGTTGAATCAAGGTGCGATTGAATTCAAAAAATCATATCTTTTAACATAATACCAATAGTTGAATTTTGTGTTTGCTGCAAGTTGATTCAGTTTCGCGTTTCATTGGAATCGAAATCTACTGGGATCCAGGTTCTATGAACATAGTACATCGGACGGTAAATTGTAGTTACTATTTTAAACATATTATCACATGTTACTACATGAAAGTGAGTAGAGTATGGAGAGTGTTGGCCCGGGGAGCCATTGTCTTGACTCTTGATCATATGTGTGGTGGACAGTGCAGTCATGAGGTTAGGAGTAGGTTGTATATCCAACAGAAATGGTTCATATCATAAATTGGATCCTGTGCTTAACTGCGCTGGTCCCATAACATTTATATACATTGTCCCCCCAATGATCCTTCTACTTCTAAGTTCTAATGATGTATACAATACCAACCTTCCACAAGCTTCTCCATTACTCAATTATATAGGCATTGAATTATCAGTTATTTTGATTTTCCCTTCTGCCATCTGAATGAAAGTTTCATGAATCAAGTTACAGGAACTGAATTGTGAAAACTATTTGTAAATGCGGGTCCAAGAGTTTGTAATGAATGTAAATCTTTCTTAAACGGTGGAAACGTTGATTTATTATATATTAGTAAGAATTTGAGAGATGGAGAGATATTTATATGAGTTTAATCCAAACCCCTCAAGAAATTAACTTTATTGTACCTTGAATCCAACAAAATTATCCCACTCTTATTTATTATTATATACAAAACAAATTGTCCAACAGCTTCAACTTTTATTCAATTACTTACGAATAAGAAAGGTACCGTAAAGAGTCTCAACTTTACTATCGTAATCAATTAAAGATTCTAATTTAAAAACTTATTACTTATGAATTTTGATTTTATTTTGATATCCAATTAATTCATACATGCCGTGCATTTTGTTTATGTAATATCCAACTTGAGTATTTTTCTTTTAATATTATTATCAATAAAAATATATTTTGGTAGAGCTGAGGTCCTTAATTGCTAACAACAAAAGTTTGCTCCAATAATCAATTTATCATAATACTTTACTCCTTTTGAATGCGTCTCTATCTAGTAGCAGAAGGTAGCCATTGCGAATTTGTGTGCTTGCACCGTAACATATAGCACGCAATACCGCAAAATAGATGTTTCGGAGAATTAATTGAGGGCTGTTAAATTAAGTAGCTGATTACACCCTATTTTTTTACCCTACTAAGAGATGCAAGCGCTAATGAACTAGTTACTTAGGCTGTGTTTGAAAATTTTAAACTTTCTTTTTTGGTGAAATAACTTATTTTTACAATTTTTTAGAAGAGATTCTTTTTAAGGGTATGTATGATAACTATTCTGTTCCCTGACATTATTTCTAAAAAAAAATTATTTTCTATTTCTATGTCTTGAAACAGTTTCTCAGAAAAAATATATATATGTTTGATAACATATTCTATTTTTATTTCGAGAATGATAATTACGTTTAATAACAAAACAAATAATAGAATAAAAAATCATTCTTATTAAGCATAAAAAATTTTCAGATCATCACTTTCCTTTTCATATAGTGTGGTGTTGGTATTGGTAGTTGTGGCATGGTGGTGGTGGTGACGGCAGCGGCGATGATGGTAATAATGGTGACGATGGTGGTGGTAGTAGTGGTAGTGGCGTGGTGGTGGTGGTAGTGGTGACAACAGTAGTTGCGGCGATGGTAGTGATAGTTGATATGGTGGTTGTGGTAGTAGTGGTGATGGTGCTGGTGATGATGATAGTAGTGGTGACGGTGACATGGTGGTAGTGATGGTGGCAGTGGCGTGGAGGTGGTGGTGATGGTGATGGTGATGGTGATGGTGGCAGTAGCATTGTGGTGGTGGTGGTAATGATGGCAGTGGCGGAAAGTGACTGAAAGAAACAAATGTTTCTCATTTTGTGTCCGAGAACAAACAAAAATAAAATTATTCTTTTTTCTGTTCCCCGGAACATAAATTGAACCAATTCATTCTCAAAAACAAAAATAAGTTACATATTTCTATCCATTTCTGTTTCCGGGATTAAAAATTAAAAAAAAAAAATTGATTTTGAGAAGCTTGTCATGCATACTTTTAATGTATGACAATAACACTATTTTTCTTTCTTTATT